AAATGATTGAAGAATAAGAGGGAGAACATGCTAAGGAAAAATCTTCAATTGATAAAAAGAATTGCTCCTACTTTTAGTAGACAATTTTGATAAGGTGGCTCCCAGATTAATTAATTATATTAAATAAACAATTATAATGTAGACAAAAAAAGTCTGAGATTAGAGGACCAAAACCTACTTAGTTTACCAGCAATAGTTACGTAGGAATAATATACATAAAATTTGAACTTATCCAAACATTTTATTGATTATTTGTTCAGTGTCTACAACTAAATATCTGACAATACTTTCATTGACCAATCTTTCAAACTTATCTAGTTCAAACTTTTTTCTATTTTCACTTTTATTTATTTATTATTCTAAAAAAATATCTTTTTAACTTTTATTTTAGTATCATTAAAAGATTTTTTTTTCATATTTTTATTTTAATTAACTTATTTTTCAAATTATTTTGTAAATCATGAATATTGCACTAGAATCTATGAATTTCCAAATTCCAAGGTAGAAGTCCACAAGAATTCAGGACCTTTGACTTCTTTGGTTTCATTGAAACAAAGAACGTTTTCTAACGACGTTTTGTTTGTAAATAAATATTAGTACTGTGATTTTAAGAGAATCGTTTCCTTAATCATTTTAATTGGACTTGCATTAGTAATGTATACAAACAATTTTGGACGGTTGTTGTAATTTTGGTTATATATGTACATGTTAGTTTATCAGCATCTCGGTTAATTTAACAATTTACAGGCATAAGTTGTTAATAATATAGAGAAAATTTCAGCAATAATAATTAATAGACTCATCCTCTATAGCTACAGTTTCAATAATTGCGCTCCATAGTTGTTTGCTATGCCTCGGGGCTGCGATTTGTATATATTTCTGACGTTTATATATAGAAACTTTGTATTTGTATACATTTAAAGAGATGTGAGATGAAAGAGATATAGGATATGAGATATGAGAGGTGAGAGAGAAGAGAGGAGAGATGAAAGATCAGATATGATTTAAGATATGAGAGGTGTGAGAGGAGAGAGGAGAAACGATATGAGAGATGAGAGATGAGATAAAAAGATATATGATATGAGACATGAAACGATATGAGAGATGAGATAAAAAGATATATGATATGAGATAAGATAAGTGAGATATGAGAGATGAGAGAGATGTGAGATGAGATGAGATATGAAAGATTAGAGATCAAGATATGGGAGAGATAAGAGAGATGAGATGCGTGATGAGATAAAAAAGACGAGATGAGAGAGATGAAAGAGATGAGATTACAATATGAGATATGAGATAAGATTATATGAAAGATGAGATGCTCTGATATAAGAGATGAGATATGAGATATGAGATGATGTGAGATGAGATATGAAAGATGAGAGATGAGAGATGAGAGAGATAAAAGATGATAAGATGAGTGAGATGAGATAGGATAAGAAAGATGAGAGATATGAAATGAGATGAAATAAAAGATGAGATGAGAGAGTAAAAAAGATGAAAGAGATGTGATATGAGATATGAAAGATGAGAGAGATAAGATATGAGATATGAGAGAGACGAAATATATGAGATAAGTGAGATGAGAGAGAAGAGAGATATGATATGAGATGAAATATGTAAGATGAGATAGATAAGATGAGTGAGACATATACGATATGAAATATAAGATTAGATGAGATGTGATATGAGAGATGATGAGTGAGACATATACGATATGAAATGATAGGATAGATGAGATGTGATATGAGAGATGAGATATGAGTTATTAGATGATTTATTAGAAATTAGATATGATATTAGATATGACAGATGACAGAGAGATGAGAGATGAGATGAGAGATGAGAGATGAGAGATGAGAGATATGAGATGAGATATCAAATATGAGATGTGATATGAGATGAGATATGAGATGTGAGATGAGAGATGATATGAGTTATGAGATGAGAGATAAGATATGAGAAATGAGATGAGATGAGAGATGAGATATGAGATATGAGATTAGATATAAGATGAGAAATGAAATATGATACGAGAAATGAGATGAGATATGAGATGTGAGATTAGATATAAGATGAGAAATGAAATATGATACGAGAAATGAGATGATATGATATGAGAGATGATATGAAATATGATATGAGAAAAATGAGATGATATGAGATGAGATATGAAATATGATATGAGAAATGAGATACGATATGAGATGAGATATAAGATCTCTATGAGATATGATATGAGACATGAGAAATGAGATGATATGAGAAATGAGATGAGATATAAGAAATGATATGATATGAGATGAGAGATGAGAAATGAAATGATATGAGATATGAGATATGAGATGAGATATAAGATATGAGATGATATGAGATGAGAGATGAGATTAGATATAAGATGAGAAATGAAATATGATATAAGAAATGAGATGAGAGATGAGATGATATGAGAAATGATATAAGATGAGAAATGAAATATGATATGAGAGGTGAGATGAGAGATGAGATATGAGAAATGATATGAGATGAGATATGAGATGTGAGATGAGATGAGATGAGATATGAGATGTGAGATGAGATATAAGATATGAGATGAGATGAGAAATGAAATGATATGAGATATGAGATATGAGATGAGATATAAGATATGAGATATGAGTTGAGAAATGAAATGAGAAATGAGATGAGATGAGATATGAGATGTGAGATGAGATGAGAAATGAGATGATATGAGATATGAGAAATGAGATGAGAGATATGAGATATGAGATATGAAATGATATGATATGATATGAGATGAGAGATGAGAAATGATATGATATGAGATGAGAGACGAGAGATGAGAAATGAAATGATATGAGATATGAGATATGAGATATGAGATGAGAAATGCAATGAGATATGAGATGAGAAATGAGAAATGAAATATGATATGAGAGATGAGATGAGAGATGAGATATGAGATATATGAGATGAGAAATGATATGATATGAGATGAGAGATGAGATGAGAAATGCAATGAGATATGAGATGAGATGCAAGATGAGAAATGAGATGATATATGAGATATGATATGAAATGTAAGATAAGATATGAGAAATCAGATATGAGAGATGAGATGAGATGCAAGATGAGAAATGAGATGATATATGAGATATGATATGAAATGTAAGATAAGATATGAGAAATCAGATATGAGAGATGAGATGAGATGCAAGATGAGAAATGAGATGATATATGAGATATGATATGAAATGTAAGATAAGATATGAGAAATCAGATATGAGAGATGAGATGAGAGATGAGAGATGAGAAATGAGATGATATGAGATGAGAGAGATGAGATGTGAGATATGAAATGAGATGTGAGATGAGAAATTAGATGACATGAAATTGTGAGATGAGAGGAGATATGAGATGTGAGATGTGAGATGAGATGCAATACGAGAAATGAGATGATATGAGATGAGATTTGAGGTGTGAGATGAGAAATGAGATTATATGAGATATGAGATAAGAGATATTAGATATAAGATATGAAATATGAAATATGAGAAGAAGAATCTTTTTTAGAAAGTAAAATAGATAATTGAGCTACAACATCTCCAACCTTATACTCTATTTTACTCTTTAAAAAATAATTTTCTTCTCTCTTCTCAATGTTATATTATTATTTATATTTCATAATATAAATCATTCTTTTCTTTTTTCAAATAATCATTTTTGAATTTTCATGAGATATAATATTTTATATTTTCAAATTCTTTATTTAATATAAAATTTTATTTTATTTCAAATTTTTAAGTAACATAAATTGCAAGCAAATATTCTATAATATACAAATTAATGAACAATTCAAATAAAAGTGAAATCATTAATGAAATACAATTACACAAACATTACATAAATACTCAACTTTCAAGATTATTACGTTGCTCCCTTAAATGCTTTATCAATGCATTACGAAGATAAAAATTATCAATGTTGTCCTTAATTTTTTTTATGTCTAGGTAAAAATTGTTCAAACCGAAAAATTTCAAATTATATTAGTGACAAAAAAATTTTAAAAAAATTAACATATTATTAATTCGGAATGAAAATAGTTTATATTAAATAATATATTTTTAAGAATATTATACTGTATTTAAAAAGAATTACAAATATTAAATATTTAATTAATGGGATTATATGTAAAATAATATGTTCATTGCAATTTATACCAATTAATACCAAAAAATTAATACCCATATCTCGTCTTTTGAAGTGCGGCTCAATTAATACCAAAATATTAAATTATTTAATTGCATATATAAATAATCAAAATCTCCAATAGCAATAACATGTTAGAAAATATTTCAATTCAAAAACTGAAAAGAAATAGTACATACTTTGAACTTGAATGGGAAAAAATAGAACAAAAGTCAAAACAGTGAGAAAAAAAAGACAGAGGTAGAGGTAGAAGTGACTGTGAAGTAGAAGAAGGAAAAGGAAACAGAGGAAGACGAAAAGAAGAAGATAGAAGAAATACGTATTGCTTGGATTTTGGAGTCGCTGGAAAAGTCTAGCTAGTGGCCTTAGGAGTCTAGTCGAAGATTCTAAAATTACCTTCTAACTTTTAAAACCTTAGTCGCCTTTTAAAAAAAAAGAAAATACAAAAGGCAACACCTTTCTCGCCTCTCGCCTTTGTTAGCCATGGCGTCGTCTTTTGAAGATCGCCTCGCCACAAAGCTAAAAGGCGATGAAGGATCACCTCGTCGAGGCGATCTCCATTGACGATGAGGTGATCGCCTTTCACAACATTAGAAGAATCTAAGGTTAGCTTTGAACAAGCACTGTCCCTACATATAGAAAGATTTCAACAGCAGTAATTATATTTCGCAACCAATTTAAGTTTTCTTTTCCAACCAGTAACAATTCTTTACCCTTGTAAATGCATATTTGATTGAAGATGTCATGTAAAACTTTATTTGCAGACTCCATTGCCTGCATAAACATCAAAGTCGTATAATACAATATTTTATTATTTATAAGTGTCCATGTATTTTATAGTGAAAAAAAGAGACATCACATATGACATATGATTTTTTTCCCCAGAACAAACTTAAAATAGTTCACCAGAAAATATAGGTAGTCAGACATATTGTTTCAGGCCTTCGAACAAGCACAACAACTGCTGCTAGTGTTTTCCATCATCACCAACCCCTAATCCAATAACATCAACTAGTTTTTAGACACAACTTTCCTGTACTGTTAACTTAAACTAAATAATATCCTATATGGAGTTAATGTCAACAGAAAAGGCAGAAAATTTGAAATATATTTGAAACAGAGAATAGAAACGTTGAAATACTGGCAACCATTATTTATGGGAAAGAGTAAATTTGGAGGTTAGTTTCTTAGTTTTAAATTGCTAAACAGAGTTTATAGTACAAATGACTTATCATGCGCACAAGATTTGCAATCGCCTAATCAAAGTAAAACAGAATTGTGCACATACCTCATCATAATTGAGATGGTTGTCTCCCAACTGCTTATCATCCCATTTTGTAATTGCCAACAAGAAAGACTGTAAGAAATAATCCCTTTTCCATTTCAACTTTAGAACGCAAACTCTTCAAGTGCATTCTCTCTCTTGCGGTCCCCTTTGTTCCTTTAATGGTACATTTTTTAACTGTTCAATGACATATTGCAAGATCCTTTGCTCTCCCGTGATGACAAACTGCAACCACAAGGGGCATATATCGAAATAGGACAATCACACACCAACAATAAGCAAAGAGGAATTGATGGAAGTGTAACAAACCCGAAATTCTCACTATATTAATAAGGACTAAAACACGATTACAATACTCAAATTATTGAATTATGATGAAAATACTGAAATTACAAGTAACTAGAGGATAAAATATAAGAATAGGGATGAGAAGCTTAGACCATATAATGGAGAGGAGAGGAATCAGATTCTTCACAACCCTATTTTTCCTAGAATGTGCTACTTATTAACTTGGATCCCACACATAACCCCTCAATATGGTATTAGGTTGTTTTGGTATAACAGGCCTCGGCCCATTCATAACATGAGGGATCAGCTTCAACCAAGTAATCGAATTTGAAACAAGGGTGGGTAACCAAGTAAGAAGAAATTGATGCAACATGTCAGGAATTTATTTACAAACAGTTAACTAAAGAAGATGGAAGCAATTTCCTAACAGCCGATTGCTTATTGGGATAAAAAAAATTACTTGAATTTGCAGAAGTTAAATAATGTGGATTGAGGAGAGGATGAGGGTTTAGTATTTCAGAAAACCAGTTTTCAGTCCATAGTGAAGTTAAGGCAGTTATAAATTATAATTAGACTATAATAGCACATTTGATTCGACAAAGGTCAAATTTCTAAGTTGAATAACACGAAGAGAAAAATAGGACCTGAAGAATAACACTGGACCAAAAACATTATTTTTCCTTAAATAACACACATTTAAAATCACCTTAGTTAAGCTAGATTAAGTTACAACTGTAAGTGACTAATCACAATCTTGTAGGTAGTAGGCAGGCTACACATTCTTCAGTTGAGTTTAACTGAGGTTATTTCAAAATGATGGGTAATTTGGTCTTCTTTGGTAGATTCACCAAGGATTGTTGACATCTGTATTAATAAATGCATAATACCTGAGTAATCAGAAACCTAGTGTATGGCATTTTCCATACAACCTATTATTAATTGTGAATAGAGAAATTGCAATCAAAATTATTAAAATTTAGGTTCCTATATGTACCACAAACAGAGTGCAGATCGAGAGCAGCAAGTACAACCTCTCATTTGATGCATCATTAGTTTTACATAAGGATGAAGCACCTAAAATGGCCACTCAACTCAAGGACATTCAACAAACAAATGAGAAACTGAAGTGATGGCCACTCTTGATCACCCAGAGATTCATTTTATGCAAAAAAGTAAACTGACATCGAATGTTAGCATCGGCCAAGAAGTACTCCAGAAGGACATCAGCAAACCTAACTAACATAAAAAGAACAAAGCCTTCCATATCTTTTAGTAACTAAGTCAACGAAACACGATTTTCCTCGTACTTCAAGCTAGATTCAAGAAATATCAGTTTCTTTTCTAAATAGGAAATTGTAGGCTATGCCACATATTCCAAAGAGCTTGTGGTCCATCACTACTCAAATAATTGATAAAGAAGTAAAATCTAGTCCAAACAATTGATATACCATCAGCATGTTAGTAGTCAAGCAAATGCTAGTAATGTTTTAAGCAACTCTGACTAGAAACCAATATTTTTTTTTTGTCATTTTATACCTGTCGAAATAATACCCAAGCATAGCAAGTGTAATGAATGGTTTTTGTGATTCCCAAAATACACCATGTGGACTTAAGAAGCTCCAAAATTTCTTCAACTTCATGGTTGGAAAAGATGAAGTTTATAATTGGTCATTCAAACCTATAAATCGATTTCCAAAGGAATGTACTCACATAACATTCATTCCACTATTGTTCAGGATTTTACTATTATATAAAGAGAACAGGTTATTTTGTTCATATAAAACAACTGGACCTCAATCCTAAGCAAGTAGGGCCTCAACTATATGAATCCTCAGTGATCATATTTCATACCGTTCCATTTTAAGCTCCTTAGACCCATATTATTTATAATAATTAAATAATAATAATAAGCTCTAGAAGTTCTATATATTTTCGAAATGCATATAAATCTCATATAAGACTAAAGGACTCCTACAAAACACAAGACCTAAATTACTACTAACATGCTAAAACATAGTCCCAACTATATAAACCTTTTCTATTGTGACCTATTATTCACTGTGTCTGCATGAATTCCAAGAGATTGTAGGTTTTTCGAGACAATTTCCTTCCATGTGATTTTGTGGCTCATGCCCTTTTAACACCTTCACTCATCATGTCCCTCCATTACAAACATAAGTACACAACATACCAAGACTGTAAATCAAATGACCCTTAAAGAATATTACCTTCTTTAAAGAGAAAGGTGACATCCCAAGAGTATTACTTTCCAGTGTACAAGAAACAAGATGGTCATCTTTATCCTGGCATCATAAGGCATAGCAAGAATGACAAGAATTAGAAAGTATCCTCCCAAGAGTATTACATTCAAGTGGGGTTTTACTGACCTCTGTGAGCTTTCCCTCATCTAAAACATCTGAGAAGTAGTTTCTCGTATAATTCGACATTCAAGTGATAACCATCAGCTCAGTGGCATACTTCACTAGTTAAGTCACCTCGAGGCTTGAGCTGGCCTTTCTGCTAGTGGCATAGCGATCTCTCTCAAAGATTTTAAACATTCTGTCCTTTGCATCTCTGCTGTAGAAGGAGGAAAAAACTGAAACAAAGAAATAATATTTTTATGGCATATCATCTGTTATAGCATCACAAAGAACCCTTTCTTGTAACCTTATTTCTCAGGACATGGGTGTTCATAGTATATGGTATCAAAAATGTCCATGGATTGAGAAAAAAAAGAGAAGATGAGAGTGCACATAATAATGATGAAGAACATCAAACAAGCAAACAAGAACAAACATCAATGATAGCATGTCAGTTGAACTAATTCCATGGGTCAATAAGATTTTTTGAAAAGAAGTCCTTGTAGGAGAGTACAAAAGAAGAGACAAGAATAAATAGAAGTACAAGAAGATAAAACATGTCAATTTCCAAAATATAGACACTTCCTTTTTTCAACCATGAAACTCCCGAGGGCAGGGACAAACAATTCGAAACTCAATATATAATGAACCTCCAATCTAAAAGATGAAAACCCTCTTAGCAACTCTAACTTTAATTCTAAGCAATTCTATGATTAGACATATGATGATCAAACTTCAAAACATAACACTCAAGTAAATCAAAATTGTATTTAATTTGTTTGAAAGAAGTGGAGTGCATTTGTAGTTTCAATCCATCTATTTAATATTTAACATACTTATTTTCGGCAATAAAATTAAAAAAATGAAATCCAACTAGGATTACCGCAAATTTACATTCATTGCATCGACCATTAAGCAAATTGGTAAATCATGATTCAATTTGCAATTCCCTTGCTGAAAAAATGATAGGTTAAATTATAATGTTGTTAGTTCGTTGTTTGTATAGATGTTGTAGGGCCACGTGCTTTCTGTCGTTGTTTGTATAGATGATAGAGGGACACGTGTTTCCTGGTGCATTGCTCGAACTACAATTAACATGGATGAGAATTGAAATCTATTTATCATTAGGATACAATGCTTGATAATATAGTGGTTAAATTCCCTTATTAAAAGAATCCATTTATCATTTTGAGTGAAAATTGCACAGAAATTAGAGCAGTTATACGATACATCTGCATCAATGTTGTTAATAGTTTCCTAGTCATGTGTCAGCATCCTATGCACAAAGTAACCAGTAGTACAAATATAGAACCAGAGAAAAATCTCGAAGTACTCTTAGTCTCCTGGTCTTTTTTTTTCTTCTGAAAATGGTAACCAATACTCTCCCCACTTTTATTTTTCCGGTATAACCAGTACTATAGATATAGCACCTTAGAGCTAAAAAGCAAGCAAATTACAACCTGCATTACTCTTAATACCAAAAGCAACCCGTTGAAGAATGAAAATAAACATTTATGTGCATAGAACACACTAAATAATGTTTTTTGGGATAGGTAAAAAGTGCTGCACAACAACCCCATATGGAATAATTCTATGCTGCAATAGATAAACATCTGGAACTGGAACATTCACAAATAGTAACTATTCAACAGAAATTAAAGCATGTGCAATCCCGAACAAGAACATTCATAAATAGTGACCATTGAACAAAAAATAATGTATGTGCAAGTTCGAATTTACCATATGAGGGAAAACAGAGTGCTCTCATGATAATCTCTAATAGCTTCAGATAGTTCAAGAAGTCCGCCTACCCCAAAAAAAAAGAAACAAATCAATCCTGCAATCCATTTTAAAGCAAATATGTAGAGGCTATATTTGTGGTGGACATTCCCTACCTTTTCTTGCACAATTGAGGACAAAATCAACACAAACTTGACCAAGATCCACATCATCCAAGGAAACAAATCTGTAGAGTTCTCCCTGCAAATACATACTACACATTCAATTGGAGCCACCCACCCACCCACATTGTGTTCCAGTAAATTCTCTACTATCAAATCTTCTTAACATATCAAGAATCTTTCACCTTAAGATTTACTTCAAACCAACTTCAAGATCTATCAATCTTGTAAACTTAATCAAAACAAGGAAAGAACCCACTGGATTTTAAAGGTTACTTACTCTTCCATTGCAACTTCAACGTAAACCCACTTGCTTAGCAACTCACACTTTGCATTCACCCAAAAAATAAGGTCCTCTAAAGAACCAAAAACCCCCAAATTCAGTTACCAAAACATACCAAAAATAAGAGGCAAGATTAAACGAACAACCAAAAGCAGATGAAGAATTGGTGATGGTGTGGAAATAGGGACAGCCGGGGGTAATCTTCTTGGAGACAAACCCCATAGTTCAGATTTGAACCAAAAGAAGACCGTTGAAGAATGAAAATAAACATTACAACACAATAAATAATATTTTGGGATACGTAAAAAGTGCTGCACAACAACCCGTATGGGGATAAACACGATAAATGGGTCGCTTCCTTCTATTTTATCTATATTTATAAATTTTTCTTTTAGATATTTTAATATTAAAGATATATAAGTAGTTCAATTTTTTTTGGTAGTAATAAGAGATTGTATTCTCTAAAACCTTGAAAAAATTAGAGATCCTCCACCTTAAAAATTCGAACTTGTATAAATCAGTTAATATCATTACTTTATTATATTCATAATTTATTGCCTCAATGTGTTATTGCAGATATATGGTTGAGAGAAAATATAAAAAAATTATAGCTTCAACCCGATCGACTTCGCTTAAGATATATGATTGAGTGAAAATAATTAAAAAATTATAACTTCAACCTGCTTAGCATGGCATAAAAGATAGAAGGAATATTTAAATAAATAAAAACTCTAACATAATAATATCCATCATTTTTAAAACTTTATTTATTTATTTTTAATCAAAATACTATTAAAATATATTTTTATTGATATTTATACGATATTCGAAATTTGGTACTCATTAATTATTAATATAGAATGCACACGCAATGCAAATATCAAGAGATAAATACTTAGTGAAAGAAAAAAAAATAAGAATTAATTAAAGCAAAAAATAGTCAATTGGATTAATAAATAATAAGTAGCAAATAAGGAAGAACTGAAGAGGGAAAAAAATTGAAGCCTCAATGGAGAAAAAAAGCCAAAAATATAAGGCTAACAAGGGGTTTTGAACTCTCAACGCCAGCATCGTGAACACACACACAATATATATATATATACTCTTATAGTATTATTGACTAATGACTAATTTCTGAACAAGAAATATTGTGGTCTTAAACATGTCATGTAGAATCTAAATTTAAAAATTGACAAAAATGAAAGAAACATTCTTTAATGTTTCAAAACGAACTAAAAGAAATATATTTTCTTATTAAAAAATACATGGAATAATTCTATTATTTTTTTTTTTAAAAAGGGCCCCTCAAATTTGGGGCACGAATACCTCATTTTTAAAGGCATCGAGCCGCCCTAAATAGGATATTTAACTAAGATGAATTGAGAATCTGAAAGACAATTATGCAACCCCTATTAATGATCCATTAATATAATTATCCGTTTAAAGAAATAATAAGCTAATTATCAAATACAGTACTAGTATGACAAAAATGCTAACATATTTATGGAAAACAAATACAGTTGAAAAAAATTACAAAAACCACTATACGTTGTTTTTATAACAAATTCTCTACTTCTCTCCCTTGCTTCTCTCCCACTCTCTTGGACTCTGTCTTTCTCTTTCTCCTATCAATAAGAGGGAACTCATTCAAATGTATTATGTATCAATTGTATTCAATCAAATATAGGTGAGAGTTTTGTGTTTATATCAATTGTATTCGAAAAACTATATTCGTATTTTGTATCAATTGTGTTTGTATTTATACGAATACAATATGCATTAGTCGTGTATCCATTTAGATGGACAATCAGACGGGGCAAATATGAATTTTATTTGGATCCTCAATTATGAGTTGAGTTATCATAATTGGGGGTTAATTTAAAATAGGCGTGAAATTAATAATTTTTTAGATATTATTTTCAAGCATATCGGGTCAAAATATGAATCATATGTAATTTTTCTTATTTATTTGAGGATGGATCAAATTTAAATCAATCAGATTAGGCAACATAATAAATAAATACTTAAGGATTTAATTTTAGGAGAGTTATTAAAAATAAGGACAAAAATGAGTCAAATCAAAGGTAT